CCTCCCTCCCATCCCCACTTCTGTATTGCTCCAGGCACTGGCAACCCACACTATACCAGTAGATGGACCAGGCCTATAACAACTTCTGAGTTCCCTCCTTATGAACCAGGCGACACAAAGCCGATCTTTGCAGGCTGGTCATGACTCTATCCCTGATATGCAGAAAGCTAAGATGCAGAACGGAGCCATTCCTCGTTTTGCTTTTGCATCAAATCTGTATATCATTACAGAAAACCCCATCATATGTGATGGACCTATGCATTCAGAAGTAAGGACTCCTCTTAAACTCAGAAGCTGGGGAAAGAATCAGATTGCCAGTTCCGAAGCCATATGCCTTCTTTAACATTCACGTGCTCTTTGCACTTCACAGGGCACAAGCACAAAGCAACAACAAAGAAATTGACCTGACCCCTTTCTGGTTTATTTGAAGTGGTTATCTTAAATGCCAGTGCTTCCCCTGTTTATTTTGCATTCCTCTTTGCAAAAGACAAAGGTCAACAGTGAATAATAAATAATATGAACACTAATTGAGAGGACTTCTGCATCTTTGTTAAGTTACATGGCTCTCTCATCTTGTCATTTGAATTCCCCAAACTGTGACAACTTCATTGGTGAAGCATTATTATTATTTGCATGCCTAAGATGGCTTAATAAGCATGCTGCATTTTGAAACGCATGGGTTTGTGGGTGAGTAGTGGCAGGAACATTCCTGGAGCAATCATAAATATTTAGATCAGTGTGTTGATTTTAATCAGTTAAAAATGTAAATGATGTGGTTCTTTGTCATGAAGGAGAAAGATAACAACGTCACATCATACTTTTATTAAAATTTCATAGAAATAGCTCCCTTTCAGTGCTGTCAATCTCCTTGTGCATTTTGTTTTTAATTATTAAAATTTAGTCTCATTAGCATGGCATGTGGTGTTAATGGCATTTGTAATGTAAGCTATTTCAATAAAGCTATTTCAATAAATTGGCTGAATAAGTTAGAAAAATTATGCCTAATGTCTTCAGTTAGGGGAAAAAATACATCAGAACACAAACCTCAAGCATTTAATTCCTCTGATGTTTTGATAAAGACTTTTTAAAATTTTAATTAGAACTCTCTTTTTAAAAGTTTGTTAGAATGGTAGGTTGCTGAGTAGACACCTACATTATAAGACAGACTTCGATGAGTGCTGTGTAGATTGAATTGCTGAGCCTGGAGGCTGGAATATTAAATGGTAGGACCTAATAGGCACATGCACTCTTTAACACATGCAGCCTTTCCATTAAAAGGAATGCGGTTATTGTTTCAAGAAGGGTAACTGTGTTTGTATTTTCCTGCTTGTAATCAGTTGCTGGATGCAGCCACTGGTTGGGAGAAGTTCTTATGGAAGCACAAGAATGCTGTTTGGGTTTTCAAATGCAACCATGTGATGGGCAAAGAGGAGCTACACTTGTGTGGTGAGCTCCTCTGTCATGTCCCTGATGGTCCAGCTCCACCACTGCCATGGTTTAGGCTGAAGGTCTGACACAGGCATCATCATACATTATTAGAATGCGGAATTTTGGACTGTTTGGGGAGCGAGCCTATGTCCATACAGCAGACTCCCCACTTCAGATCTTCAGTCCTAATGTGATGGTGAATTTGTTCTATGGAGGACACAACTGCAGGACCAGAGCCATCATGTGTGGACCCAAGCTCCTAGTTATCGTGACAGTAATTGCAGGATCCAAAATGCCTGAAGCAGGCTGCTGCAGCGATGGAGCAGGCCAATCGGGTGCCTGGGGCAGCATGCGTTCCTTGCACCTGGGGGCAGGGCCAGTCACCCATGGGGGCACTGTAGGGCCTCTGAGGAGTCTGCCTGCCTCCTCCCATTCAGCTGCCCTACAGCTGAGGGGGAGGCAACGGGCGGACTGTTTAGGGCAGTGCAGAGCCTGTGGGTGCTCAAGCCACTGTGTCACTCCCAGGAGAGACGCGTGGCTCGGGCGTGCTGCAGGCCCCACAGTGAGTGCCACCCACCATTTTGTCACCTCCCCCCAGGGGGGATACTCAGGGCAGACCGCACCTACTACACCCCCCTTGCTACACCCCTGGGCTACTGTTAAGTTTTTTTTAATTGCATCTTCACAGATGTTCCCACTAGAGAACAGAAAAGAAGATTCAGTTTAACTTTGAATTGTGCTGTCATGAAACTGTTTCAAAAATGTCTATCCCACCTAATTTCCCAAAGATACTCAAGGTGGCCAACAAATCAAACAACAGAATATTAGGAAACAACTTAGGTCCAGGGTATTTTAGGGACCACCTGAACACTTATATCCCAGTGTGATCTCCGAGGGGATATGTTGGAGCATCTCTGGTTGTCCCCCAAGTATACAGGACTCATATGACATCAACATGAAACTGAGCCTTCAGTGTTACTGGCCCACTCCTATGGAATTCTCTCTCTATATATATTAAATAAATAACCATGCCCAATTTTAACCCAATCTCCAAAATAAAAAGGTTAACATAAAACAAAAAATAACTCGAACCATTCCAGAAGAACTGAATATGATTTGGCCCACTTAAAGCCAATAACACATTATATAAGAACTCTGTGTTGTATCTAATGTTAGCCATGTTCAGGATAGATAATTTAGGTCCATTAATTTCAATGAGTCTACTTTAAGTATAATGTATTTGTATACAACTCTTTGTGTTTGGAGCACCCAATGCAATCGAACTAAGCTCGTGTCTGGATTCAGCATTGGTTTTTAATTCCACTCCAACTTTCTCTGCAGTGCTTAGATACCTTTTGAGTATATTTTAGCAAAAACCATGCAAATGCATATTATGTTCACATTTCTAATTAAGCCAATAAAGTGAGTTATGGCTTTGGCAGTATTTCTTATGGTTGCCTTTTTCCTCTTTAATTAATGTTTCATTTTTCATCCCTGCCAACATAATTGCTTGTAGTTTCTCTATAACTTAGTGCTGATTATCTAGAACAATGTCTTCTGTAGAAAGAGATGAACAAGGACACTCTCAGACTCATCTTCTGGTTTTTATATTGCAGCCCTGCTATTTTTTATTTCCTGGTTTTTATGCTTGAAATAAACTTTATGAAGTACAGACACAGGGAATATAGCGGCTCGCCAGACTATGCAATTCACAGATCAACAGATTATTTACTATCTTGCCTTATATGCCATTAAAAACACTTCACTTGCATTTGCAGGATGTAGTTGAACCATACAGTAAAGAACGTAACAAAATGAATACTAACCAGAGATGGGGGGGGGGGTTCAATTGCACCAGACATGAAGACTTGCTCTCCTTTAGTCCTTTTTGCAATCTACCAATTTTGGTCCACCCAACTGTGCCTGTCATTTCTGATCAGGCAAGAGGCAGAGATTTCTCATAGAGCTCTCAGCAAATAAGACAGTGTTTTAGCTACAGCAGTGATTTTCAACCTGTGTGCTGTGGCAGCCTGGGTTGCCTCGAATGATGGTCAGGGATGCCACAGGCAAAACTGGCTTTTGTCCCTCTTTCCTTCCCTTGCTCCTCTGATGCCCTCTTGCATAGGGTTGCCATATGTCCTCTTTTTCTAGGACATGCCCTCTTTTTCATGGAGTTGTCATAGCAATCCATAGTTAAAGGTTGTTGCTGTTTAGTCGTTTAGTCGTGTCTGACTCTCTGGGACACCATGGACCAGAGCACGCCAGGCACTCCTGTCTTCCACTGCCTCCCGCAGTTTGAGATTCAGGTAGGTAGCCGTGTTGGTCTGATGCAGTTGAAATCTATATAAAAATAAAATAAAATGTCCAGTAGCACCTTAGAGACCAACTAAGCTTGTTCTTGGTATAAGCTTTTGTGTTGGTAGCTTCAAGAACACTGTCCAACCATCTTGTCCTCTGTCATCCCCTTTTCCTTGTGTTCTCAATCTTTCCCAACATCAGGGTCTTTTCCAGGGAGTCTTCTCTTCTCATGAGGTGGCCAAAGTATTGGAGCCTCAATTCAGGATCTGTCCTTCCAGTGAGCACTATGCCTGGACAAAGACAACAGGCATAGTTAAAAGTAGAAGTAGACAAATGTGTCCTCTTTTTTGCTCTTCAAAATATGGCAACCCTTGCATCACTACCTCCCAAAGGATTGCACAGAGATGTAGCTCTCCAGATGTTGTTGGACTACAACTCCTAAGAAGTAGAGGAATCCCGTGCTCTTGCTTACAGGTGTTTGATGGGGTCAAATAAGACACGGCTCTGTGCAAATGCGCTTCTTACAAATGCCTCAGAAGCACCTGGTAAGACATGAATGGAGAAGCTTGGGCCATCCAGAGGGTGCTGGACAACACTCCCATCACTCTTGGACATTGACCTTGCCATATGTTGGACCACAGGTTCCCCACTCCTGTTCTAAAGAATCCCTGGTGCTAATATTACCTCTTCATTTATTTGCATGATAATTTGTTTATAACACATCTTCTTCACAATTCCAGTTGCACAAAACAAGAGGTTATTATTCTAACATGCCAAGCTCAAACTTAACACCAAGTGAATAAAAATTTCTACATGGCAGAAGTATTGCGGGTGATGAAGAATTTAACAAAGAGAGAAAGCATGTGGTGTGACTCTGATAATTGAAAATGTCAATCCTCCAACCATCTGGGATGTGATTCATAATTAAAACACTAATAGAGAGTGATGGATCCTTCATATTAGGCACATAAATACAGGCTGAATTCGTGACCCAAACTAACTATGATGACTAGACCCTGAATATGGTGGCAGGGGAGATTAAACATTAACAGTGGTTTGGCATTATTTGTACTTGACTCTAAAATGTATGTAATATTTCTTGAAGTTTCCAGAACTACTTACTTTTAGGACATCAAAATAATTTTTGGGCCAGCAAAGTTACTAAATAGGAACAGAGGAAATTGCTTTATACTGAGTCACACTATTGGCCTATCTAGCTCATGACTGGGAGTAGCTCTCCAGGGTTTCAGACAGGGGACATTACGCACCTTACTTGGAGATGCCCAGGATTGAACCTAGGACTTTTTGCACGCAAAGCAGATGCTCTGCCACTAAGCCATAGCCCTTCCTCAAAGAAAATGGAACCATTACTTCATGTTGCACTCTGTAAAATGGGCAGGGCACATTTGAATTTATATTTTATTCTTGATATTTGTTTACAATGAAATAAAAATAGAGCAAATCACAAATTTATCAATCATCATTCTCTCCAGTAATCTGCATTTTAGTATTCCTTCAAGGATGCATGTTAGAACTCTATGTGGTTGATTCTTCCTGCACCAGAGCTACTACAGCTTTTAGAAGGAGTGTTGGCAGGAGCAATGGCATACACAGTAGAAACCTACACTGCAGCAGTGCTTGCCCTCAGAAGAGGCCCTTATTAATCTAGCTGCAGACACTGCTGATTGCAGAATTAATATTGAAGTATCATTCATTCATTTATAGCTCTATGATATTTGCAGTCCAGGAATCAGTGTTGGAAATGTAGGGTGGCATGGCAGAGTGGGGCGGCGCTTCCCATTTCACTTCAAGCAGTAAAACAGGAGGTGCTACTCCTATCTACTTGCATAGTGATGTATGTGCTTAGCGTTATTTCACATGAGCAAGAATCCTGATCAGCTCATAGTTCCTCCTTACATGAAATAGCTCCACATGTGGTCAATGGTGCATGAGTAGCATGAAAGTAGTCTGAATGCATGGGCATCAAAGGGGAACATGTAATCTCTTGACTGCTCCACATCTTCTTCCAGTACTCAGAAAGGGCCATGTGAATGCCTCACCCCCAATATAATCACCTAATAAGATTTTCTGTAGCGCCACAGAAGTATTCCTCTCATCAACAATTTGTTTTTTTTAAAAAACAAAAAAAACCACATCATTTCATCCATACTGTTTGCCCCCTGAAGTCTTTGAATCTGATGCTGAGGGACAATCAGGTAAAATATCAACATATTTAGGCAATTTTTCAGCTTCATTACTTATCTTCAATATGACTGGCTCCAGTATTCTTTCCTTTTATTATTGTAATGCTTCCTCGTTTCCTACAACCTTAGAGGTAGAAATCATTTGCCATTAACAAGAAAGCTTTTCACTTTATACTGGCTCTTCATTATTCTGGTTAATTTATTCTTATATACATTTGGCACATTTTATTTATAAGAATGTGGCAAAGTGGGAGAAGAAAAGAAAAGAAGTGAATTCATTAACATCTTCCTATTCTTATAACATATTTTAAAAACTGTCCAACAAGAATGCATTAATAATTAAAGGATGGAGAGCAAGCGGACTTCAATACAGAAAATATTACAAAGATCATAAGAACTTTCTCCAGCTATTTTGCCACTTAGAATGTCCTCGTTACAGCATATGTTTCCAAGTCTCAGCAGAACCACAGCACGGCAAAAGAAATGACTTGTGCTCCGATCTCTCTAGTGTTTCTGAAACTACCCAAAACACATTATCCAATAATAAGTGGCTTGAAAGTATGCCAAGCCAATGAAAAGCTAAGTACATTTCACTGTCATTTATACTTTGTTTACACTGTAGATCATTGAGCAACTGAATATTCAGAGATAATCTTGGTAATTACTATTACAGTTTCCTACCCACACATGGCAATATCTCCTATGTTAGTTTCAAGTTCAACCAGGTAGTTGTTCCTCTAACAAGAATTCAGGAGGAAATTTTCATTTTAAGACAGGAAAAATGTGTTAAGTACCTAGCATCAAGGGTTCAAAGTAATGGTATGTATTCCCGTCCACATCTTTTATTACACCCAAGCCTCTGTTTATGTCTATTTTATGTATCTTCATATCCACTTGATGCCATTGCTGAAGACAGAATAGTTTCCAAGAAACACTGATATGTTCCTTAAAAGCATTTCATAAAACCCAGGAGTAAGTATTCCAGTTCCAGGATACTTAATGGGTAAAAATGAAACCAACTATTACATACTGAAAAACTTTTTTCATTGATGAAAAAAAAATTAAAAAGTAGTAGTAGGTTTACGATGTAGACTGAATAAATCTCCTACCAAATGGCATTACAATCTTATTTGCACATACATCCAGTTGAAATCAGTTGTCTTCTTCTTACACAAAAAGTGTGAAGGAGTTGGATATGTTAATGCTGAGACTGAGAGATTCATGCCATGAACTCCACCTGTGTGTATGGTGGTGGAATCAATATCCTCTTCAGTACTATGGGCAGCCCCTCATATCTCATGGTGCTCCCCTAACCTTTAAGATGTGACCTTTTGAGAGATGTGAGGAACCACCTCCAGAAAAGGAGCTGCAAAGGCCCTGTGCATAGACACATTATTTTGAATTCCAACCAGCATGCATTTTTGCATCTGTCATCTTTGAGAATACCCACAGTGCACAAATAGTCTGAAGAGCAGCATCAGAGCTGAGGTCAAGAAGGGACCAGAAACCTGGGAGGCAGTGGTCAGGAATAAGAGCTGGTGGATAAGGCCAATTCAGAGAGTCATTGAGAAGTCACAGCTAGTAAGGTCTAGGATGGCAATGTGTCCAACTTTACAGAAGACTGTCTTCTGTTTGGAGGAGTTATCTATTTGAAGGAGTGTTTGGTCCACATCCAGCTTAAAGATAAAGAACCATAACAGTAGAACTCTGTTCTGGAAACACATGTCACCAGGTCATAGCCTTCCCCTTTATGATGAGATATGTTATATTTCTAATTAAATTATAGCAATTGTTTCTAAATTTGTGTCTTTATGTACAAATTAGAGCATGCACACTTTATGTAAGTCTGTTTCCTATCTTCTGTAAGTGGCACTACTCTAGTATTTTCTCTTACTGCTCAAACAAAGCTTCAGTCTTCCCAAGAGGGTTCCAATGTTCTTCTGCTATCAGGGGAATGCTCCAAGCCAGTCTCCTTGGCTTACCAAATAAGGTAACAGTTTCCAAAACTGTGACTTCCTAGATCCAAATCTACCAGTTCAAATCTCAGTGGCTTCTCTTCTCAGTGGCAAATCTCAGTCACACTTCTCTGAAGTCTCTCAGACTCACTCACCTCACAGAGTGTTTGTTGTGGGGGAGGAAGGGAAAGGAGAATGTTAGCCGCTTTGAGACTCCTGAAGGGGAGTGAAAGGCGGGATATCAAATCCAAACTCTTCTTCTTCTTCTTCTTCTGACAAATGGATTTAAATATTCATCACTACTTGCTATTCCCCCCCCCCCTTATTTTGCTTTCCATCCTCTCTCTGATTTGCTTCTGTTTCTGCCCCAGTACTGCCCAGGAGTGTGTGCTCAACCCCTTAAAGCTGTAACCTTAAAAAAAAATGGGGGGAGGGGGGTCTAGAATGAGACTTTGAGGAAATTCAGTACCTTGCTCTGCTCTGCAGGTGGTGAAAGAAAGTAAAATTTGCTTCATGAAATTCAGATTGTGGAATACTGAATAGCTGTTGGCTGTGAAACAGTCATGTAAAGATAAATATAATATATAAATATTTAAATTAGATTCACTTGACTTGGAAGTTGCCACATTTGGAAGGGGAGGAAAACTTGGTCAAAGCCTTTTATCTCTCTTTTCTTAAGGAAATGTGCTGATGTTGTGGGATCACTGCAACCAGCTACGACAGGCAAATATTAATTTCCTGCTCTGTCACCCACTGGAAAAGTGACTGCAGACATCACTTTAACTTTGATGGAGCTCTTTGAGATTTCTTACCAAATGCCCTTGCATGTTTCTGCCATTCTGTTTTCGTCTTAGAGAATACTGCAAGAAAGCCAAATGAAGGCTACACAGTTGGTGCACCTTATTATTATAAAATGATCATTCTAAATACTGTTTGTTCTTACCAGTGTTAAAAAACTGACTTTCAGTTGCTTCTTGATATGGGGGAAGCAGGGATGAAGTTTTCTCATGAAGCTGGGCACAAATTTCTGAATACTCATCGTGTACATCCCTTTCATTCAACTAAATGTATGGAGAGATATCTGTTAATTTCCATTTCTCTTGGTTTCTCATTTTTCTCACTTTAAATTCAATTCTCCACACTCCCACATCAGTTTGTGAATTTAAATTGATAGCATTTTAACTGATTTCTACTATGGTAATATATACATTTTTGAAGCAAATTTTCCCAGTACATTATGTGTTATTTTCACAAATGTATGCATTTTTATGCACACCTTTCCTTAGTATACTTATTTTTATACAGTTTTTTGTTTGTTTTGAGAATGGCATCACAAAACTCAGAAAAGTGTCAGTTCAAGATAGCTGTATTTCAGTCCACATATTGTTTCAGGTAGTGTGGAATTATAAGTGTACTTTTGCTATATGAAACCCAAACCAAATTTCTCATCCATCCATAAATAAACTGTAACACAAGCCACAACAGTGTTGTGTCTATCACTACTTCTGAATATTTCATCCTCATAATTTGTATGTGTTTATACTGAAAGGAACTAGTAGCATCAGGTTTTTTATACCCGAGAAGAAAAGAGGCCTAGGAAAAAACTAGCTGCAAATGAACCTTGCATTGGTCCCTCTCCTGACTCAGCACCTCAAGTGGCAGTGGGTGGCATAGTCTAGTTGCCCTTTAAATTTCCCATGATGCCCCACCCAGAGCAACACTATGTTGTGGTGGCCAAATCTAGTTGCCCACTGCTTATCAGAGCACTCTAAACTCTAAAAATAGCCTTGTTTTTTGATTAAATTAAGACAAGGCCAGTAGATCATGAGACTCTTAATCTCAAGATCGTGGGTTCAAACACCATGTTGGGCGGAAGACCATTGCAGGTGGTTGGTTGGACTACATGACCCTCATGGTTCCTTCCAACTCTATGATTCTAAGCCATTTCTTCTCCACCTAATGTACCTCATAGTGGTATCATGAGGTTAAAATAAAATAATGTATGGAACCTTGAGTTTCCTGTGGGAACAGTGGGATAAAAATGAAACAAGATTAAGTGAGGGAGGGGGGATGAAATGAAGTAATGGGATATATTTTCAGGGGAGAACTTAAAAACCATTTTTGTTTTATTCTTATTCTGCTCATATTTGGCTCCCAAGGTGAGCCACAGCAATTAAGTTTCCCAGGATTCTGAGTCCTCCTAGCCCCCCGGTGGTGCTGACGCAGAGGAAATAGTTCATGGAGTGCAAACCTTTCATTGCACGGTTACTTGTCTCTGTGCCATAACCAACAAAGAGATTAAAAACTAGTTCAAACCCAGAAATCTGTCCACCAAGCTTGTTTGTTCATTGCTTCTGGGGAAAACCACTGTGTGAAATCTTTCCATTAAAAGAGTGCAAACTGATTGAAGCTTTATATAGATGAAGGGTCAGGAAGAGACACTGGTCACCCATAAACACAAAGTCCCTCTGCCTGCCTACTGCTCTGAAGGCTCTTATGAATAAAGGTTTCCATTTAGGATAAGTGCTTGGAGGGGAAGAGGAAAATATTAATTTGATTTAAAAAAAAATCAGTGTCATGAATATTTCATTCTACTCAGTGCAGCATGATTCCTGTTTACCACCCATAAATTAACCTAGGGATATAACTTTTAAATTTACATGTGAAATTACATTTCCTTATAGATCTTCACTGAACCTTGAATGATGCATTGGTTTATCAAAATAGAGCTTTTCTTTAAAAGAGTTCCTCTTCTGATTTATAAGTGTGTGTCTCATTTCCCCTACAACTAGAGATCAAACTTTCCCAACTGCCAAATTGTATATTACCTTTCCTGAGGGATATTTAGAGTTCTTCATTGTCTTATGCTTTGTCTCTGCTTATAAATGAATGCCAGTCATGTTACCTATGTCTTCCTCTCAATAAACACGCAATGAGGAAGGAGGAAGATGCAGAGAAGGAAATGAGTGTCCATAATTGACATCTAATGGCAAATTCATTCTCAAAGCGTGTGTCTTTATGTAGCCCAAACTATCCATTCACGAAAGGGAGACATAAGCTAGCCTCAGGGAATCCTAAACTTTGCAGAATTACAAAAGAATTTTAGGTGTGGGGAGGATACTCCAATGAGGAATGCTGGCTGTCTATTGGAGAGGGTGAAAATGGAAAACTGGGGAAATTGAATGAAGAATCCTAGGAGAAGCTGGCTGTTTGCATTTCTGAAAAGTTGCACATCTCACGTGTTAGAGTGACTGAAATTACACTTCCAGCCTTAAGTGGGCAAAATGGGTCTATCCCTACCTTTGTTTATAATAAAGGACTACCTAGATGAAGTTTATGAGTTTAAAAAACTTATAATACTTTGTTTCCTGTTTTATCCTCCTAAACCTATGCAGAATGTTAGACTGCAGGAATGGTCACTCTTCATGAGTAACTAAAAATTACTGGATCTTCTTCATCCAAACCCTAAGGTAAGATCCTCTCAACCACTAGTTCTTGAAAAAGGGAAGAAGGTGTGAATCAAATTTTCAAATGAAGGATTAATAACATGGACTACCAGCACACGCACGTCACATACAGCCCCCCAAGCACCCTATTGGGCCTTTGGGACTCTCCTCAGGCCACATACACCCTCCCCAGCCACACCTTCTTTGGTCCAAATTTGCATCTCCCTTGAGTGCAGTTGGTGTAGAAAAGGGAAAAGTTGTGTTTCAGCTTGGTGATCCAGTTTAGGCACCTTTCAGGATGATGAGCTCACGCTCTGGGCTCTGTGGTGGAATAGGGGTTGCCCTTGAAGCCAAACTGCTTCATTGGTCTGGAACAATGGGGGGTGATGAAGCAGCATAGATCTTCCTACTCACCTTCATGTTGTGGCCTTGGAATGGGATGTAGGCTGGATGGGTATGTCTTCAGCTCCTGCAGGCAAGTGTTTTGGTCACTCTACTAGTTGCACTTTCTTTCAGGTTGAGGTTTGCTCCTTCACCAATAGTGTTGCCTTTTTGCAGGATTTTTTAATGGGGTTTAATCAACCCAGCCTCTGCGTCTATTTATTTGGCCATCAGGTCAAAACAGCCAGATTCTTTCACCACATTTCACCACTGTACTGCTGCCTTTTAGAACCTAACCATCACCTAACTTTAATTACGTATCTCCTTCCAGTTCCTCTTATCTTATCTCTGCTCATGTTCAATGGAGCTTAATCCCAAGTACAGAATAGCAACCTCAGTCTGGATTCAGCCAAGTATCTCCAGATGAAAAATGGCAAATGAATAAATAAATACATTAACAGTACAGAACTTTATGGAACTGATGAGAAAGAGGAATGTATTTGCAGAAATGAATGCTAGATTAAATACCTTTCCTTGGGCAGGGATTTAAAACAGACGCTTCATGTAATTTATCAGAGCAACATTCCTAATGCATTTCATTTTTGTTTCTGATTATCATAATAACTGGATACTAAAACCCGAAGTTTGGTTTTAGAATGGAAGTAACAAAATGCAGAGCAAATAATTGAAAATCTCTTGTCACTAAAATCAATAAACCACCTGATTTTTAATGGGAGTTCTTTTATTATAAACTAATGATGTTTCGTTACAGTTTGGCAAGGGCATTATAGCCCTGGGATTTACCAAGTGTTCATGAAACCAAGGGCATTTTTCACTTGCTGGAAGAAAATCTGCTGGCGATAGCTCTCTACTGCTACCTTGAACATAACATTTATAAAAGTTATATTCACAGTCCCAGTGAGAATTGCCATATATCCTTCTGAGATTAAATGGGAGGGCCTTTCTAGTGGTGGTGCCCAAATTAAGGAACTTGCTTGAGTGCTTGGCATGGATGCTTGGGATCTTATTTATTAGGAATGTAGGAAACTGACTTATACAGAACATTGATCTATCTAGCTTTGGTCTACAATGACTGGCAGCAGCTCTCCAGGATTTTAGGCAGGGATCTCTTCCAGCCCCACATTGAAAGGTTGGGGATTAAATCAGGGACCTTCTGCAAGCAAAACAAATGCTCTCCTACTGAGTTGCAGCCCTTCTCATTATTGTATTTTAAGTGTCAGGAAAGGTCAGATTTATTCCCCCATGCCTATAGTAGTTTTTACCGTTTGTGTGCTTTCCTTGCTTTTGTTGTTTTGAAGTTTTTAACTTGCTGTTTTATCCTGTTCTAATTTTATAGTGTAAAATGAATTATAATGATCCCATTATAATTCATAATTTCCTCAAAGTGCAATGAATGCAGTGGCATATACAGGCAAGGATTCTTTGTCACAGCATGATTTTTAAATATTTCCATATTGTGTGCCACAAACATTAATATTAGAAAGTGCATATTAAGTGTGCCTAGTGCTGTTATTTTTCACCCTATGCTCTACTGGTTGGTACAAAGGCAGAACAGGCAGCAGAATGGGGCCTCTTAGCAAGTAATTGTTCAAACTTAAGAACCAAACTTGAAGTGAGGCTGGCTGACTGGCTTGTTCGTTTGTTTATAAGATTTGTAATCCACTCAAATGTCCCAGAACAACTGAGAATAAACACTAAAAACCCTAAGGTGAACCAAACTGCTATTGGTTCCTGTGATTACCTGGTCCACCTGGGCTGATATGTTTTAGTACCCTCCCTGGATGGGACTGCAGCACAATCCAATAGCTCCATCTTTCTGAGAGTTAGCCTGATGGCAAGTGAAGTCAGACCTGGGACCAGCTGCCAGAATCTCTGTTTTGAGTCTCCTAGTCCCTTGCTTAGCTGCACTGGGACTATTCAGATATATGGTGGTCACCTGTTGATTGGTACCATTCATATGAAAGAGTCATTTGCCATCAACAAGACCAGTGTGTGATATACATGTCACCACTACAATGAGTGGATTGCAGAAGCCTAAGGTAAGATTCACAGACCATAGTAGGTATGCATATACTTGCATTTTCAAGACATGGGTACTCATTAACAGTGCTTCAGCATGAATAGTAATGTCCTTGAATCTAGTGTCAGCTACCACATTGTCCATCAATTCACCCATTCACATCAGTAAATCTGTGAGTCAGGAAAAGAATAGGATTAAGGAAATAGCTGCAAGTGATGAAAGTAGTGCATGCATGACAGAAGCCAGAATACAAAGAGCTACAGAATATTTGTCCAAATGACCACCACTATTTGTGTTAAAGGAACACAAGATTTTGCCCGTGGTATACAATAGTAATTTAGCACTATAATCAGTTTACGTAGGCAAAGTTTGCATAAATTGTGCAAAAATTGGCCAATGCAGATGGAGGAGCCCATAGACCCTGACCTGCAGTAAAAGGTCTCTGCAAATGAGACTTCAGTTAGTCTACTGTTATGTATTATAGTTGTAATAATTTAGACAACAACTGAAATACCTTCTCTCACTGATTTGCCTACAGTGCTTGAGGACCACAGGCTACCGGTCATTTTGTCATCTTCTGAACTTTCCCATGCAGAACACATAAATTAGAGTGCAATTAATTAATTGGGATATACAAGAAGACAGTCTGTAAACAAAGATGGGATGGGAATAGGGATGGAGAAGAGAAAGAGGCAAGTTTAGTTAGGTTTATTTTAAACAATCCAATTATAATGGGGAATAGTTACAATCTAGCAAATAATCTAATATGTACAAGACACTGAACATAGAGATGGGGGAGGAATTTGATTTAGTTTCCACTTAAAGGTGAACCTACCTAATTTACGCTTTCCGAAACAGTATGTGAACCAAAGTACAGCCTTCTGCTGAAATTTGCATTTCTCTGAATTCTGCAATGCCGTTCTCCAGCCAAGAATTGTGCAAAAGAAAAATGAATATACATTTCAAAATGCATTATATCAGTGACCAGTGCTTTGCAGAAATGTTTATATTATGGAACATTGCATACCACATTTTTGTCCACTGGAGGAAATTACAAAAACAGTATAGTAGGAGAAACTAAAAACCACTGTGTTTGTGAATATTCGTGAGAATTTTTTTTAAAAAAATAAATCTGGACGACATCTGGAATGCTGTGTCCAATTCTGGACACCACAATTTAAGAAGGTTGTTGACAAGCTGGAACATGTGCAATGGTGGGGTACCCATATGATCAAGGGTGTGGAAACCATGACTTATGAGGAAAGGTTGAAGGAGATGGGTATGTTTAGCCTGGAAAATAGGAGACTGGAAGGAGATATGATAGCCATCTTCAAATATCTTAAGGGCTGTTACATGGAAGAGGGAACAATCTTATTTTGTCCAGCTCTGGAGGGTAGGACTCGAAACGATGGATTCAAGTTACAAGAAAGGAGATTTTGATTAAACATCAGGACAACTTTCTGACAGTAAGAGCTTTTCAACAGGGTAATAGACTCCCTTGGGAGGTTGTGGAATCTCCTTCATTGGAGGTTTTGAAGTAGAGGTTGGATGATCATCTGTCATGGATGCTTTAGTTAAGATTCTGACATTTGCAGGTGGTTGGACTAGATGACCCTTGTGGGTACCTTCCAACTCTATGATTTTATCATTTTATGAAAATCAAAATTGATCTGGCAATATGGGGAACTGTACTCAATACACCTAAGCCAGTCCACTGATTGTAAGAGGTCTGAGCATGGCTAATACTTGAGCATGAATAGCACTTATTCTTTCCCTATATTCTAATGCAGGCATAGGCAAATTTGCCCCTCCAGATGTTACGGGACTACAACTCCCATCATCCCTAGCTAACAGGACCAGTGGTCAGGGATGATGGGAGTTGTAGTCCCAAAGCATCTGTGGGCCGAGTTTGCCTATGCCTGTTCTAATGATTTTAAATATGCACCTCAAAGTGGAGCAAAGTTATAACTCTAAGTATATTTCATAGAAAGTAAATTCCACGGGGCTCAGTCTGAGCTATTTATGAGTCGATGAGCTTAGGGCCGGGATGCATGTTGTCTATTCCTGCACAACCATCAGTTTGATCCCACCATGTTTCAGCTACATTAGTCACAATTAGAAAAGAGACACACCACTTTTTTATTATTCCAAACAGTGTCTGACCTTGGAAGGACTTGGGAAATTGCCACAAGAGAAGGAAAGAAAATTATCTATTTTACAGATCTCTTATCTATACTCACCTTGAATTATGCGTAAAATAAAATTTGCAAAAAGTATGTCTGAAATCTAAAGAAAACAGTAGCTATTATGATGAAACTGGCTGTGGCCTTTTATAGCTTTTTCAAAAATCTTTTATGACTGCTCAGTTCCCTGCAGTGTATCTGTGAAGTGCAGAAAAAGTTCACACCAGATGATTATACTAAGGTACCAAAGCCAGTGAAGTGTGAGATAATCTTTTGAGCTGAGAATTAGTGTCTTGGGCAACCTAGCGAGAAACCAAAGGGGAGTTATTCCTTCAGTAAAGTTTAACATCTAAAGGCTCACCTGCAGCTATAACTCTTTATTACTCTTCAGATCAATACTTGTGACCATCTGGTTGCATGTTAATGTCCCTCCCCCTCCCTTGCTCTTATGTGTGACATGCTTTCTTTGCCAGCACAATGCAAATTCTTAAAGATCTAACAAGTGCAGTGCACAGCAATTAATATGCTTGCTTTAAAAACTCAAAAGTTTCTGGTTCCAGTCTTTCATCCCCAGAATATATTTTCCCCTTTGAAATTCACAAATGTGAAGGAAAAACCTATGTGAAAGTCGCTAGGGGTAAAATCCTCTGCATAGTAACTTAGAAGACAGACCCACTGAGTTCAATGGGGCTTTCTCCCATGTGAGTGGATATCAGATTGCAGTCCTATGTATTTGTTCTTATTTTTTAAAAAACAACACCAACAACACCACTTTGCATTGATTTTAATTTTTTGATGTTTGCTGCCCTGGGCTCCTTTAGGAGGAAGGGTGGAATAAAAATATAAGAAATCTCACTAGTGGTGAAACATTTCCTTTAAAAGCAAAACAAGCAAATTCATCAATTTCAATTGGACAGAAGCCAACACCACCACGGCCAGGGCTGTCTTAAGCATATCCAGCGCCGTGGTGCAAAGCTCCCTCCGGCGTGCCCCCCTCCCCCCGTTTCCCAGAGTTGTCCACCTTTTTTTAGGGAGGACAGCGCTGCCGGCGGGGCTGGAGGAGGTGGGCAGCTGCTGGAGGGCGGCTCCTCTGGCAGGGAAGAGGCAGAGGCTGGACATGGTGCCTCCCGGCTCAGCTGGCCACTTCGTGCAGTGGTGGCCATGGCAGGCAGAGGCTCCAGCTGCGGCGCTGCTGCGGCGCGGCATGGCGGAGGCGGGCGAGCTGATACCAGGAGGCACTGCATCTAGCCTCCACCTCTTCCCTAGTGCCTTCTAGAACTGGCGCCCTGGAGCCCTGTGCCACTAGCCTCTAAGGGTAAGACGCCCCTGACCACGGCTTCCCACAGGACAAGACATAATTAGGTAACTCCTCCCATTTTGAGACCAGGAAATGAAGACAGCTGACAAGGCTGCGGAGGATTTAAGGGATGCTTAATGGAAGAAAAAGTTTCGTGACTCAATTTGGCTGTTTTTGTAAAGTCTCCCTTAAATCAGATACGCAGCTCTGGTATTTCAGTCCTTGCAATCACTGCCCCTCCCCCCGCTATTCTTTATATTTTTATTATTTAGTGCTCATCCTGCAATAACATCAAAAGCATATATCCTACCCCACCCACAACATGCAAAATACACATGTGAAGAATTACTATTGACCAGGCACCTAAAGATGAAAATTATGGTGTTTGGTGCATCTCTCTGGGTAAAACATTCCATAATCAAGGAAACACCACTGATAGGAGTGAATTGTTTTAAATTACAGTTTTTAAAAAAGAAAAAGAAAAACACTGTGTAATAATGGTTTCCATTAGCTGTTATATCAAGGTAAAGGTAAAGGTACCCCTGCCCTTACGGGCCGGTCTTGACAGACTCTAGGGTTGTGTGCTCATCTCACTCTAGAGGCCGGGAGCCAGCGCTGTCCGCAGACACTTCCGGGTCACGTGGCCAGCGTGACGAAGCTGCTCCGGCCAACCGGCACTAGAGCAGCACACGGAACGCCGTTTACCTTCCCGCTAGAAAGCGGTACCTATTTATCTACTTGCACTTAATTGTGCTTTTGAACTGCTTGGTGGGCAGGAGCTGGGACCGAATGACGGGAGCTCACCCCGCCGCGGGGATTCGAACCACCGACCATGCGATCGGCAAGTCCTAGGCGCTGAGGTTTTACCCACAGCGCCACCCACATCCCTGCTGTTATATCAACCCCCCAATAATAAATTTGTTGATACCTCCTTAGTTATAAAGGTTTATTTCCTATTAGTCCTGCCTCTTTGCTGTACATTCTGATTTTCAAGGTTGTCAGTTCACACTTAACATATTACAGGCATCTCCTTTTACAGTTTCTTCTTGGCATTTTCTGAACAAGAATTGACACTAGTCTGGTTTTAAGCATTAAAACATCAAGCAAGGATGTTTGAGGTGTAAGGTAGCAGTAAAACAGCTGCCATTCCAAAATGACTTCAAAATAATGCAAACAAAACATACTCTGTATGGGTAACTGACCCATTAATTAAGTGCTAGAAAAGCCAAGCATGTTGCCTGCTGTGTTCTGAATTGTCTGCACATCACTGATTGGTCTGCGAATAGCTATCAACAGCATAATAAGAAATGATTTAAGAAAACTATTAAAAGTTAAAAACAAAGTTTATGGGGTTTGAACTGCTCCTTAAATGAGTGTGATTAATGCATGCTGGCAATAAATGCTCTGCCCAAATCTCTTAGCCATGTGGAGTCTTCATAAAAAGTGTTTTCATAGTTTTTCATAGGGCGGGCAAGGAAGAGAATTTTCACCATTGATGGTTTTGGGGAAAAACATTTCTGCTCCCCTAAAAGCACATCCATTCACTTAACATTCAAAACAGAAAACATTCAGTTCAGCCATAATCAACGGTTTCATACTTGAAGAACTGTTATGTGGAAGGCAATCTGGCTCTGAGAGAGAAAGCATGTTTTTAAAGTATCATATTTTCAATAAAAAAGAATGAGAGTGTTCAAGCTGTGCTTTCCCCTCCCTTGAAATTAATCAATTTGCATGCTAATGCTTTGTTAAAAATAACATTCATCAGAATTTTTCCAGCTGCTATATGCAGGAACCACGAAGAGACTTCTTGAACTGCCTGAGGGGCGGTGATATATTAGAGTATTTATTGTGTAGATCACATGCAAAACTCTGACCTTACTGATACTTATGAGTCTAGATTATTCAGGAAGACTGCAAATCTTATCTTTTCAACTTGCTCTGTATACCTGGAGGCGAGACTTCTTTTTTAATGCTTTATCTGAAATAACATTATCTAACACAAGCTCTGAATGACTTTACAACCGTCTTTGAAAAGTGACAAGTATCTTTTTCTGTAAATGTGTGGTGTGGTAGATTCTAGCTTAGAAAATATGTAGTCTTTCGGTGGTTCCATCTCTTCATTTGTTTTTTAACTGAAAAAACCCCTCTGAATACCTGTATTCTTCCTCTTCTTTTCTCCTGTTTCATTCCGCATAGTATGTGTTGGTTGGGAAAGCAAAAGGTAAATAATTAAAAGGAGAATTCCCTGGATATCTAGATCAAGGTTTGGGGCAAGTACTGTTTGATGAGAGAACCCCAGCAGAGATTTAAAATAATAAAATTTGCAGCAAAGTGTGGAAGTATAGGCTGTTAGACCTTTAAAATACCCCCTTTTAAGGTGCTTCCAAAATTTCCCCACTTCCCTTAGCAAAGAAAAAGAGCACATATTTGGTAAGTTAAAAATGTTTTACTTACAAACTCTTCAAAGGTCAGATTCATGAGTAGTAAGAAAATAAAGGCAGTATGACTGAGGTTCCAAAGTGGTGAGAGTTTCTAAATTATTTGTACAGAAACACAAAGATGTTTTGCTTAAGCCACATGGTCTAAGCTTGGAGCATCCAGCTTAGACCTGGTAGGGTTCACATGGTGGAATGAATAACAGTGGGAAAACAAAGAGCTTGATAATCCTTTCTCCCAAGGTGAGGGGAGGTCACCTAGCTAAATCCAGCAGGACAGTTTACTCTATGGTCTTAACCCCTTTATGCATTCATTAGAGTTAAGCATGTTGGTTATATGAGGCAGAATATCCTACAGAATACATATTGGCCAGTAGCATCTTCCCAGCACTGCACGTCACTGCCACTTACCAAAAGGGGAAGTGGGAGGGACAAGACAGTGGGAACTCTGCTCAGTATGGCTGCAACATTGGGAGTGTCAGACGGGCCATCAATCTTCTTAGTTGGCTACTTTTGGTTTTTCTCTGTGTATACACAG